AAAAAAAAAAAAAAAAAAAAAAAAAAAAAAAAAAAAAAAAAAAAAAAAAAAAAAAAAAAAAAAAAAAAAAAAAAAGTTAAATAAAAATAAAAAACAAAAAAAAAAAATAATAATAATTGAAATAAAATGTTGTAATATCGTAAAACATCAATATTCTTTAAAAATTAAAACATCAATATTCTTTAAAAATCAGAAAATTACACTTTTGATGAAAGAAGGATTTCTGATGAATCGATGCATCTTATGCATATCGCATCTTTTTTTTTGCCTTTATATATATATTTAAGATTGCGCATATTACCCGATCCCGAGATTTTAGTCAGCAAATAAATAAGCTTATTGTGATATTTGTCATTCCGTACTGTTTATGTCCCATGATTTTGTACACTGAAATTACTATTAACCAATCAGGAAAATTCAATATTCGAGCGATAATTTATTTCAATCAGTACTATAGCGATAGACACATTCAAGTATGATCAAGGAAATTAGCCATCTTTACTAACGACAATATTCCTACTTTTTATTCTATAATTAACTATCCCTTGCGTCCATGAATTAATATAAATTGTAAAAGAAAAAGTCCTCTGGAAAATATATTAAAATATTGGACATTTGGCAATGTTCAATTCTCCAAATAATTTTATTGGACATATAAAATGGACAGATAAAATTTTTATGATATGAAGTACTTATTACATTAATTTATAAGTGTAAAGAATATCCATCAACCTAAGTATTTATAATAAAAAAATTAGAAGATTCAAATGGTACAATTTTGGAAAATGAAAATGCCGATGAAATAAAAATGATTGTTAAAAAGTAAATTGTTGCTAGAAACATGACTTTTGGAAACAATCGGACATATGTCCAATTAGTAAATTTAACATATTATCCGATTAATTCTATATTTTTTGGACATTGTCCAATAACTACGGGTCCAAAAAATTAAATATTTTGGACAAATTGGACATAGTCGAACATAGCTTTGTATGGATCGAATTTTATTTATTATAAATTATTTTTACAAATCTGCCTGAAGTTGTAACTTCAAGCGTCTGAAGTTGCACCTGGCTTCAAACAAGAAAATCTAATTTTAAATATTAATTTGTTTCATATACAACTTTAGGCTCCTGAAGTTGCAACTTCAAGAACGACATTGAAGTATCGGAACGAACAAGGAAAAGATTCCGGATATACGTGCGGCTAAAGAAGATAGCTAATGCACAGTTGACCTAACTAAATGTTTAGTATAGCAACGGAACGCTTATATGATCAAAATTCAGCAGAAATATTGTTATAAGTTAGTGTAATAAGTGGGAGTTTAAAAATAATGCAATATAATTGAGTACTCAAAAAATTGCAAGATTAACAATTTTTATTTTTATTTTGCCTACTATCTACTGTAAATGCTAAAACTAAACTTAGCAAATACTAAAATGAACCAAAGCATATGCATGTAAGATATCTCTCTGCACGTAATTTACTTTTTTTTCAATTCCTCCAGTTGCTTCAACAGATGTTCTGGGCCTGAAATTTTATAATTAAGAGGACCTGGTTCTTCAACGTTTAAAATTTTAATAACTCTATCATCAACAAACATCGAAAAACGTAAACCACGTTCGCCAGCGAATGGTAAACGTTGTGTAAGACCTAATGCACAGTGAAATGACATTTCTCCATCGCTAAGCATCAAGACTTTAGAGTCAACATTATGAGCGTTAGCCCATTCACGCAAAACATAAGGATCTAATTATAAAGATCAGATAAAGTGAGCTAAAATGAATATAAACAAGAAATGTTATAAAATTAAAAAAAAAAACCAAAAACAAACCGTTAACAGCAGTACAAGCGATAGTGTCAATGCCTTTGGCCTTAAATTTGTCATAATTTTCAACAAATTGTGGAAGGTGTTTAGAACTGCATACGGATGTGAAGGCTCCTATAATTATTACAAATGACAATGTATGTTCGGTTAATTGATATTAATGATTTAAGAAAAAAACACTTTGCTACAAGCATGTCATTATTATCATTATCGTTATAGTTTGATGCTTGATTTGTATAAATCTCGTTTTTCATAAATCTCTTGTTTTTCCTAAACTTACCGGGAATTCCAAACAATACAACTTTCTTGCCCTTAAAGATTTCGCTAGAAACTATTTTCTTGGGTTCTTCTTCGTTATTGTTTAGTATTCCGAAGTGCAAATCTTCAGGAATTTTATCATTGACTTTTACTTGTACCATTTTGTAGTAATGTACTTTTATTAAAAGTTCAAGTTTATTCGTTTTATGACTTGCAAAGAAAATTTTGTGAATTCGTATGAGTGACCATAATATTTAAGATTATAGACAACTATTATTCATGGTTATGTCATTCTAAAAAGATAAAAAATATAATCGCTAATTATGATATCATGCCTTATTTCCACCAAAAACCCAAAACGTATACATTTTGCTAATAAATCGTTGCGTAATTTTGACATAACAGATAATGTAATTAACTTGTGTATATGATTCGTAGACGTGTCACGTGTCTCTTGACTGTAACTGTCTTTGGTTCAAAAGTTTAAAAATCCGTAGTACAATAAAATATTTCATATATGATATAAAGATCTATCAAGCTGTAGACGATTTGAATAGTATAATTTCGTATGCTGCTAAATTAAATTTAGGTCGACCAGTTTGACGAGTCAAACTCATTAGTGAAATTTTGGAATTTATTTATTTCCTACTTATCGAGAAATAAATATGTTATGCTCCCGTTTTACTAATTAACAACCGGAGGCTATTTCCCTACAGAGTTTAATAACACTTAAATCTATAAAAAATAAACAATTACACAGTAGTAAAATAGTGAATAACTGATTACTGAATCGATAAGTTTTTGATATTGCAGAATTAAAAAACAAATTTATAATGAATCCTGATACGAATTATTCTTTAATCTTTTTTTATAATACTTTTTACGTTAGTTATAGACAAAATATCCGACATAAATGCCATTCTCAGTTATATATTGTCTATTTATGCTAATAAATCTGGATAAACATTTGAGATGCTTTAAAAATTTGAAATTGTAATAGTTTTCTTATTTATTGGATAAAATTGGTTTTCAATAATTAAAAAATTCTTAATATAAACATTGACATAGCGTCATCAATCAAAATGTAGCATAGTGAGATTAAAAAATAGGTACGTACGTACGTACGTACGTACACAACTTATTCAGTATAATAAACTATCGCTATGTCGAACATATCGATATAGATAATTGATCAACAACACCCACATTACACTTAATTTCTCATACCGATGTTACACCTGAAAACTACCTCTTATAAGTTTGGTATAACGATTCTACTTTAGCTACGGATATGTTAGACGATTGAT